TTTTTTTTAAAATATATTTTATTGATTTTTCACAGAGAGGAAGGGAGAGAGAGATAGAGAGTTAGAAACATCGATGAGAGAGAAACATCGACCAGCTGCCTCCTGCACATCTCCCACTGGAGATGTGCCCGCAACCCAGGTACATGCCCTTGACCGGAATCGAACCTGGGACCTTTCAGTCCACAGGCCGACGCTCTATCCACTGAGCCAAACCGGTTTCGGCCCTTCCATTTCTAAGGAAGATTGTTTTCTGTGATAAACCATGATTTAAAGCTCTACGCAAGTGATTTGGGATGAATTTTGGAAATACTAATTGGGGACAATATGTATTACAATATTTTCAGATAGTCTCTTCTCTCTCCACTTTTACCATGACCATTAGAAAAAAAAAGGGGGGGGGGATTATTTTAAAAAGTAGTCCGCCTTGACACACCATGTTCAGTATAGGATTTCCCTACAAGGTCCTTCTAGTGACCCCTTGGGAATTCCTCCATATCAGACATAATATCCTGTTGCAACCAGTTTTAGAATGACCCTCTATAACCGCCTGAGCTCTCAGCCTGCTCCCTTGGAGTTCACCTTCTTTAAAATTAAAGAATGCAGTTTGAGTGGTATACATTGTAGGCCTCTCAAAGGATCTGTCTGTGGAATGAAGAGCTTTAATTCTATAACTCATTATTTTTTTAAAAAATTAAGCTTTAAAATATTTTCTTAGTATGCATTTCCTGGAAAATGCCCGAGCAATGTGAGTAATTCTAACTATGATGTGAATGACGAAAATCACATCCTTTAATGTGAATATATTTTGAAAGGAAGAGAAAGTGAGAAAGAGTAATTAGTATTTTACTTCACCAAAGAAGAAGTAAAATGCAAAAAATAAAAGGAAGAATACAGAAAATAGAAGAGAAAATTTAAATGAGAGTTTGAAAAGCAAAGAAACTCTGCTGACTCTCCATTCTGCTAAGCCTATTTCCAACCTAACGTTCTTGCTATTGGTTTTTCTAATCCTTTAATGTAGAAAACAAACAATCTAATTCCTTCAAAAAATGTTATCGCCACTTTTTAAATAAGGAAAGTAAGGTTCATGGTAACTGTTTCATTTGTCCAAGATGACCAGGGAGCTGGAAATAGCTCTGTGGGCAAGACTGTTTCCCACAGGCTCCTCGCAGTGCTCCCTCACGGTGCTCACCATGCTTTGAGGAATTCAATAAACACCCGCTGAGCCCCTTCAGATGATGACATCTGGGTGGAGGAGGAGGTAGCTCGTACAGCTGATTCCACTGAAAACACACTGCAGTAAAAGTTGTCATTCTACTCCTCTCTCCCCTACATTTGAGAGTATCCAGTACCGTGAACTGTACATCTATTTCACCACCCAATTCTCACAATACACTGTGAGACAGACAACGTTTTACCCATTTCACAAACAAGGGAACCACGGCTCGGAGGGCTTATTGATTTTCACAGTTCCCACAATTTGCAAATAAGGCTCACCTCTGAGACTATATGGGTCCAAGTTGCACCACATGCCTCCATCTACCATTCTCTTTTATTCTCTTTTTTCTTTGTACCTCTCTTTCCTCCTGTATCTGCTGTGTAAACTGATTAAATACCAAGTTATGGTTCAAAGAGGGTAGCTGTAAGCCAATGAATAGACAGACATTTGACAGAAAGCACAAGCATATGAGGAATAAGGAAAATAAACAGAGTCTGGGAGAAGAAAATAGAAAGAGCTCTGGTACACTGAGGAGTAAAGAGTTAGGACAACCCACCTCTGCAGGTAGGAGCCACACACTCTCAGTGTAAAAGGCTAAGAGTGCCTTTTCCAATCACCTTCAAATCCTGCAAAAATTTTATCCTGGCTTCGTATGGTCAGGAGAGGAAGTCTGTCTTGGATTTCGGCAGGTGGTCCCAGAGAGATAAAGCGGGCTCAAATACAGGAGTGGGCTGCCTTTGCACAGATCTGACACATGAAATACATTCCCAAACCTAACCACACACATTCTAAGCACAGTATTTGCACCTAGTTTTAAGCTACCACAGTACAAAGAATACATATTAAGATGTTTTAATTCAAGGCCTACAAACTTCACACAATTTAGGGAATAGTCTGGAGACCCAAGACAGGGGAGGAAGGCTCCTCCCAAAATAGCAGGATGAAAGGATCCCCGATGGGGATTTTTCTGAGGGTTCTTACCAGTATAACTATAAATGATCCTTTTACGTATCTATTGTTCCTTCATTTTTTCCTTACCCTCCTTGTCATCTTATTTTTTTTGTCCTGCTCTTGGTACCTTTAGCCACCAAAGGCTACAAAAATTATGATTTTATCATTATTATATTCATTTTAAAGTCATATTTACAGACCTGGAATGTAGAATTTGTTTTTCAGTCCTAGTTCAATCTACTTTAGTACTAAGCAACATCTACTTTCAGAATTTCATTATTCAATTCCGCTTTCTCTTACTGATTTAAAAGGATGTTTAAAAAAGAAACGGCCCATGAGAAGTTAGAAATTGTTGATGCTATATTATATAAAAGCAGCTATTGAACAAATGAGTGTTAAATAATATGGAGAAACAACCACATGTCACGAGAATAGCAGTGAATTTAACACGGTGAATATGAAGTATGACTCTTTTATTTGGCTGGGTGAGCACGTTCCTGCAAAGAATATAATTGTTTGAGAGGCGACCAAATACATTATCTCACAGAAAAGTTAAAGCATGCTTTTCCATCTATTCTCTCACCTCTCGTCTATAGATTTGAATAACCAAAGTCAGTCTTAACCAGAAGTCATTAGCCCACTGAAGGCCTGGAGAAGTTTGAGCTTTTCCTTTTATTTCTACTACCATGAAGTAACAGACAGATATAAAACATGATCTATGTCTCTCTGAGAACACACACACACACACATACACACACACACATACACACACACACACACATACATACACACACTGAAAAGGTATTTTCCCAGAATATAAGGATCCAAACATCAAATAAGGCAAGATTCTGACCAATTGAAACCAAAATATAGTGATTGGAAGTATACGGAACGCTTAAAAATTAACCTGAGATTTAGGGAAAGGATTTATATCAATATTATCAATTCTTTTCAGTAATATTAAATTAGGTACTGAAGTGAATAAGGAAGGAGTGTGTGTTTGTTTTTTCTGTTTTGTGTTCTCAAGGAGAGTGATATATTACCCAAGCCTTTTACAGGCTACTTACTCTTTTGTTTTCCTCTTTCCTTGTGCTGTGTCCTGTTGATCAAATTGCTCTTCTGTCATTTTCAGGTACGTCTTTGGTGGCTCTTGTTGTTCCTGTTTCCATTGGAATGTTTGTTAATCACAAATGGCCCCAGAAAGCCAAGATCATACTTAAGGTAAGTGGCCCATGCTATAGGCTGCACAATCAATTGCTCCACAGTTGAAATGATAGGTCTTTCCAGCTATACAATGGTTTTCTCATTGTAGTATAAACCCAACCCTACAGGGATGAGCATTAACGTTATTAGCCATGCTGTCCACTCTTCTAGAATGTCCTTCTCCACTCTATCCACAGGGCAAATTTTTATTCACCCTTTGGAATAATCAACTCAAACATCATCTCTTGGTTTTACTATACTCTGCACTCCCACAGCACTTTGCTCTTATCTCTCTTATGTGGGTTTGTTTTATAAAATATATCTATACCGTGGCCTTAAAATATAGATCATATCTTTCTTATCTCTGTATCCATATGGTAGTTTTGTGCCTGGTAATTAGTAGGTGATACTAATTTGTAACCATTCATTTCCCTACAACAACTATATTCTAGCTAGATGATATGGATATGGATAAAGATGCTATAGATATAGGCATAGATGACATAGATGTATAAACATAGATATAGACAAAGCTGTATTCCACTGGTCAGAAAGCATAATAAGTTAGTTGGTATTCTTTGCTTCTCTGGTCAAAAAAAGTTCTAAAATCCACTTTTTTCAATGTGAAAGGGGAAAAACAATAACAACAGTGGCTTTTGTTTGCATATGCCTTTAACTTTTATAGAGTTTTATATCCATTTTCTTATTATTGTAACAATAATAAAAAGTAATCAGGGAAAAATTTTATCCTCAATTACAGATAAAGAAACTAAGACTCAGAGAGGTTTCATGACTTATCAAAACAAGGAGAGCAGGAAGAGTGGAATCTAGAAGCCAAGTCTTCTACTTTTTATTGGGTGTGTTTTCCTCATCTCTGACAGGGATAATTTGCAAGCTAGTACATCTTCCTCAGGCTAACCAAGCATGGACGCTTTATTTTCCAAAAATTTTTCTTTTCCAAAAATTAAAATGTGGGACAAGCACCAGCATTCTTGGTGGGCTGACCATGGCCATCAGGTGAGGAGACACTGAGGGGTAACTTCATTATCACAGCTGATGGGTCTGCTTGTGTCTTTCTTCCAGATTGGATCCATCACAGGTGCAGTCCTTATCGTGCTCATAGCTGTGGTGGGAGGAATACTGTACCAATCTGCCTGGATCATCGCTCCCAAACTGTGGATCGTAGGAACAATATTTCCTGTGGCTGGTTACTCGCTAGGGTTTTTTCTGGCTAGGATAGCTGGTCAGCCCTGGCACAGGTATGGTATTTTGGTAAAGCGAACTGGGGTATTTTTTCTGTAATAGCTTTTGTATTAGTTTGCTAGTGTGGCTATAACAAAGTACCCCAAATAGACTCGCTTAAACAGAAATGCATTGTCTTACAGTCTGGAGGCTAGAAATCAAAAAAATGTGTAGCAGCCTTAGTTCCTTCTGAGGGATGTGAGGGGGGATCGATCCCAGACATTTTCCTCTTGGCTTGTGGATTGCCATCTTCTCCCGTTTCTCCTCACATGGTCTTCCTTCAATTCATGTCTCTGTGTCCAAATTTCCCCCTTTCATAAGGACACCAGTCCCATTGGATTAGGGTGCACCCTAATCACCTTATCTTAACTAATTTTATCTACAATGACCTGATTTCCAAATAAGGTCACATTTGAGAGAATACAGTTCAACCTGTAAAGCTGTAAATATGGATGACAAATTCAAAATTTTTCACTTGTAATAACATTTACCCTATTTCTAAATTTGTCGTTCTAAATTGATCCATTCATTCCTAAATTATGCAAGTCTCCCCAAAAGAAAATACTGACTGCCTCTCTTTTGCTGAAATTCTTCTGGGCCATGCCCTGGACCATGCAGGTTGAGCTCTTCCATTGTCTTGCATCCTTATTCTCCAAGCAAAGCAGACATATATACATATATATGTACTTATTCTCATTATATTTGTTTGTAATGTAATATGACAACAAAGCAAAGCAAAACAGAACAATAGAAACATATATTCTCCTACGTTCTTTCAGATGCCGCACGGTTGCTTTGGAAACAGGGATGCAGAACACTCAGCTGTGTTCTACCGTGGTCCAGCTCTCCTTCACCTTTGAGGAGCTCAACCAGGTGTTTACCTTCCCACTCATCTACAGCATCTTCCAGCTCGTCTTTGCAGCAATATTCTTGGGAGGTAAGCAATAATGCTAATCACGTTTCATTCAGATATTCATTAAGAAATCCTGGAGTTACTAATATGGCATTTTTTAAAATAACCTTTTTCTGGCAATGAACTATATAAATTAAATTAAACACCTTCTTTTCTGGTAGTGAAAAAGAGAATGGGTGGGAAAAGCCAGTCATAATATTATCAGGACTTCCCAGCTGCTGATGAAATAATTGTAATTTTACCTAAAGGTTCTGGTAAGGATTATTTTGAAGTGTAAAGTAATGGAGATCGATGCTCTCCATTGACTGTCTTTTCCTCAGTAGCTAGGGGGGCATGTCAACCTGTTAGAACAATTTTATTGTGTCCCTGTCTACATGCTTCCAGGAACCCTGAACTGAAAGCATGTCTTTATATGCTTTGTAAATATAGGATGTTTATCAGAAAAGTTCAGGACCGACCTAAGGAGATATTGATATTGACATATTAAGATCTTTGGCCCTGACCGGTTTGGCTCAGTGGATAGAGTGTCAGCCTGTGGACTGAAGGGTCCCGGGTTCGATTCCGGTCAAGAGCATGTACCTTGGTTGCGGGCACATCCCCAGTAGGGAGTGTGCAGGAGGCAGCTGATCGATGTTTCTCTCTCATCGATGTTTCTAACTCTCTATCCCTCTCCCTTCCTCTCTGTAAAAAAATCAATAAAATAAAAGTTTAAAAAAAAAATCTTTGAAGCAGGACATTGTCTCTCTCAGCTGTGTATCATAACAGTGGTTAATGTTTACTGAGCACTTACTATTCTCCTAGCAGTGATCGGCAAACTGCGGCTCGCGAGCCACATGCAGCTCTTTGGCCCATTGAGTGTGGCTCTTCCACAAAATACCGACTTCTACGCATGGGCCACGAAGTTTCAATCGCACTGTACGTGCGCGCCCGCACTTGGTGTTTTGTTGGAAGAGCCACACTCAAGGGGCCAAAGAGCCGCATGTGGCTCACAAGCCGCAGTTTGCCGGCCACTATCCTAGGGTCATGGGAGGCACTTTACTATTTTATCCCATTTAATGTTCACAATTGCCCTATCAGGTAGACAATATTGTTATACCACTTATAATTATGAGGTACTGGAATTTGAAAGTAAATAAAACCTTCTCTTCCCCTGTGAACTTTGAAACCAATTAAGATGTAGAAAAAAAACAGATATTTAGATAATAAAATAGCACTTTTATTACAGATAAAACAATTAGAAAATATGGCTCAAAACTGTGATCAAATGGGCTTGTTAATACTGCCCCTTTCCACTGCCTCACACATGTGCCATAACACACATAAACTGCAGGTGTCCTCTTGCAAGGCAGTCTGTCCAAGTGAAACATCTCAAAAATATGCTGAGAAATGGCTGTCACCAGGGACTAGCAGCTCCATGGAAGATAGGAAGGCTGATCACCAATCAGCCACCCCCCTCCTATGGGAAGGAATGAATGAAGGCTGGGAGAGATGGAATGTTATTCCAGCTCAAGTCCCACACAGACCATGAGATCATGGTCTTGGACATTACCCCTTTGCATGTAACATAATTATTGAGGACTAGCACAATAACTGGGAGATGGTAGGTACAGAATAAATGTTTTCTGCTATTGTTGTTGGTGAGTACCACCTATATAAGTCATGAGCAAGTACCCTGTACAATTGTATGCTGGGTCTGCCTGGAGTGCAGTCCTTCCTCTTACTATGAGCATCCATGGAACTAGAATGGTGCTTGCTCTCTAAGTAGCCTCCAGCCTACAGAATGTGCAAACTGCTGTTTGAGTCATAGCTTATAATCACTGTCCAAAGTAAGTTTGTAGCTAATTATTATAAAATTTGCTTAACCTCCCATGTGTTTTTTCTAGTTTATTTGACATATAAGAAATGTTATGGGAAAAACCGTCAGGAATTTTCCGAAAGCAAAAGCAATGAAACAGTCTCCGAGTCATCGCTCTATAAGGTGAATGAAGGATTTCAAGCACAAGAAAAGTAGACACCATATGGACAAAAAAGAAGAATTCTAAAGAACTATAACAATATTTTAAAATATTTGTTTCGCTGGGACATTTGGCAAGAAAAAAAAGGGAAAATTTTAATTGCAACTGAATCTATATATTTATTGGTTTGGGTACCAAGTGACTGGTGGTCCAAATCTTTAATGTGACAAATATTTATATGTAAATAAATATTTTGTGTCTTTGAAATATGCCAAAAACAATATCTTCAAACCTCGGCTAAACCTGATAACACTGAGAACCTCATAACTCCTGAACGGAATTCTTACCCAGAATCTCATAACTCAGAGATGAGCACCTGACTTTTTGTATGTTATAACAGATCCACCGAATTATTACTATGGTGATTAAGATTTTCTCCAGTATTTATGATTGTAAAAAGATTGAAATGAACATCTTCCACTGACATATTATTATTTTGAAAATGTTGCAACCTATTTTTATAACTGTGTATTGTAACATGGGCAAATATCTCACTTCTTGTATTTAAAAATAAAGAGATTGTCATTTTTCTAAGTGACAATCCAAAATCAAAAGTAAGAGAAATGAGTTATTAAATAGAATTCAGTGACCAAATTAGAATCATGACCATACTCATCAGTGATATTGTACACCCATTAGACTTTTTCCTTAAAAATGGCTTGAATTTAGCAAAGTATTCTGTAAGCTCTGGAGAAGGACTTCCTCAAGGTTTGCCTGCATGAGGCAGGTCCACATTGGCTAATATGACAGCTATTTGATTTTACGAAGCTCCACAGTAGGCATCAGGGAGCGGGGAGGTGGCAAGATGCGCAAAGACAGTAGAAATATTGGAAGAAACATCACCACTCCAATGGGTGAATTCAATTCAATGGGAGATAATGGCTAATACATGGAAAAGCACAAATAACAGAAACTCATTTGAAGGCATAACTAGAGTCAAGTATATGTGCAGAAGTAAATAGCAATAAGAATAATGAAGTTGGTGGGCCATGGGGGAAGTGAGTATTAAACAGTATTTGAGAGAAAAAGAGGACATGCCCAAGGTCCAGAAGTAGGAAGGGCATTGCCCAGTGAGTACCGTGAATGCTGTGAGTGGTGTAATGTGAGGAAGCAAAGAGGATTTGCTCAAAGGCAGCAGGCTATTATGGCAAGAGGGAAACCCTGGCTGAATGTTGGGTTCTCAATTATAGTGTCTAATTTAATCTCCCTCATTCAGCAGCAAGATGCGGGCACATTCTTAACTCAGTTCCATTTTCCATTGGACATTTTTTGCTGCCTCATTGACTCCCTTTCAAATGTTTTGGATCCAAAGGGCCTTTTGCATTTAGATACTGTGAGTTCAGATATGCTGGTGCACCTCAGTATTATAGGCACATGAATATTAACTCTTAATTTGCTTTTCAATAGAGGGGAAGGGATTCTGCTTGGTAATCTTGTAACGTTTCTACCTTTTTATACAAGATGCACATTTCCAAATGAATAAGACCCGTATATTTTTCCATCATTAGCAATCACAAGGGACTAGGAACTTTTATTGAAGGAGTAGAGGCCCGATGCATGAAATTTGTGCAAGAGTAGGCCTTCCTGTAAGAGATCAACCGAAGGACTTATATGCATGCATATAAGCATAACCAATGGACATAAGACACTGGGGGGTAGGGGAGGCCAGGAGATTGTCAAGGGTGGGGGAAAAAAGGAGACATATGTAATACCCTTTGTAATACTTTAAGCAATAAAACAATTTAAAAAAAAAAGAGTAGGCCTTCCTTCCCCCGGCTGCCGGCACTGGCTTCCCTCTCACACTTGGGACCCAGGCTTCACTCACAGCCCTGGCTTCATCCGGAAGGTCTTCCAGAAGGATGTCTGGAAGGATGTCCAGTCTAATTAGCATATTTCACTTTTATTATTATAGACAGTAAGGAAAAGGTGGTACAGATTTTCTTATAAGGGAGTATCAAAGAATGTGCTTCCAAAAGTGCAAAAAGAAAACTTTCAGTCTATCTGTGAAGTACCTCCTACACTTCTCTCATCAAATAGACAACAGGCAGGTGCACTAAAGACACCCTGTGAATTCATATCATAATTCCCACACACCCATAGTCAAGGGCCTGGATGCCAGCAGCTGCAGCAAGCAGGTTTTTCCTCCCTGTTGATCAAGATATGTGAGTGTGACAGAACTTGGCTTTCTTACATGATGTGGTGTCTTGAGTTGTGCCTTTTTTCCCTAATGTGCTAGAGGGAAGAAAAATAGCTGAGCTTTTTAAAATGACAGCTCTCTATTTTTAAATGACTTTGAAAAGCTGAATAAATTATGTATTTTATTGCCTCTGTGAGTATCATATTAAATGAATATTTTATTTGAAAGGATGAATAAATGAAAATAATTTTTGTAATGTTTGGTCTCTGAGTCTTTGTGACAACTGTCAAGATTTCTTCACTATTCTATCAATTCTAGAGATATAAATAAGGTAAAGTTTCTCAAATATTAAATTGTTCTTTGAAAAGTACCTAAAAGAAACTCTTAATTAAACACTCTAATAATTAGGTATTCCACTGATACAGATTGAGGTTGTCCCCCAAGAAAACCATACTAGAGGACCATTAATCAAAGACTTAAAAATGGAGTGATGATGATAGCTGATTTAAAATAATAATAAAAGTATTATATGTACTTACAAATAAGACTACCAGCATCTCCTATTTAAAAAATGGAGAAAGAGAGAGCCCTAGCCAGTTTGGCTCAGTAGATAGAGCATTGAATGGGCCCGGGTTCAATTTCAGTCAAGGGCACGTACCTTGGTTGCAGGCTCCCAGCCCCGGTCGGGGGCATACTGGAGGCAACCAATCGATGTATCTCTCTCACATCCGGTTTCTCTCTGTCTCTCCCTTTCCCTTCCACTCTCTCTAAAAATAAATGGGAAAAATATCCTCGGGTGAGAATTTTAAAAAAAATGGAAAGAGAGGGAGAGAAAGAGAGGAAGAGAGAAGGGGAGAGAGAGAGGAGAGAGAGAGAGAGAGAGAGAGAGAGAGAGAGAGAGGCAGGCTTCAGTTACGGTGCCAGTACATTAAAATTTCTCATCAACGAGACTTGAAGCAATTCAGGTTATGAACCCCATTTGACTACTCAAAGACATTTGACTACTGTTTTCCATCTAAGAAACTCTCTCTTAAGAAAGGAATACCTTACTCTCAGCATCCCTACTCTTATTATGGTTTATTGGTTCAGGATGGAAAGACTTTGCACAACAACTACAAGAACAATCAATAATATTGGTGATTAAGAAAGGCTTCTTATCTTTCTTCATTGTACACATACTTCTTTAAGAAGTTCAAAATGGGGTATTTTAACTGTGTTGGAATATTTTGAATATAAAAATACTATAAAGTGGATGGGAATAAAGACAATCCTCCATTAACATGCTAGTACTTCCATCCTCAATTATTTACCCAAAAAATGTATCTTGAGTATATTACTCTTGGGCATAATCCTGTGGGCACCAACAAAGGAGTATTGGTTTGAAACATTGAAAGAGCACAATTTTTTTTTTAATCAAAGGATGACAAACTTGTGCCAAATGTCTAAACTTTGCTTATCTTAGAATTGGAATTCAGATGTGAGGGGACTGACATAGTGACACATATTGATGTATTGTTTAGAATAGAAAATTTAAGTCAGATTTTTTTTTTCCCTGGCAGAAAATTTGATTTTAATCCTCACCTGAGGATATTTTTCTTGATTTTTTTAGAGAGAGTGGAAGAGAGAGGGAAAGACAGAGAGAAATATTGATGTGGGAGAAACACATTGATTGGATGCCTCCTGCATGAGCTCTGACCAGGGCCCAGGCCAGGGAGGAGCCTGCAACCAAGGTACATGCCATTGACCGGAACTGAACCTGGGACCCTTTGATCTGCAGGCCGACGCTCTATCCATTGAGCCAAACGGCTAGGGCCAGAAAATCTGATTTGACTGATTAGTTTGAAAGGGCCTTTGCTGGGCGAGTTAGGAAATATGAAGGACATGCTCCATAAATTAGATGAGCTAAATCTGAAACTCCAAGTTTCTTTTAAATATGTGAAAATATCAAAATCACATTATAAAAATAATTGATCTAGAATATATAACAATCCAATAATAAGAAGGTAAGTAACTCAATTTTTTAAATGAGCAAAAAAACTTTAAACAAACTTCAGCAAAAAAATGGCTACTGAAGCAAATTAAGCACATGGCAATGGCAAATAAATATATGAAAAGATGCTCAACACTATTAATAGTTAGATAAGTGCAAGTTAAAACTACAACGTATACCACTGCATGCCCAATAAAATAGCTAAAATAAAAAAATTACTGCCGTTAGCAAGTATTGATGAGGCTATCAACTTGTAACTCATAGATTACTGGTAGTACAGCTACTCTCAAAAAAGTTTGCAATTTCTTATAAAGTTAAACCCACACTAATCATATAACTTAATAATTTCATTCCTAGGTATTTACTCAGCTACCAGAAATAAAACATAATAACAGAAAGGTCAGGGGCCAGAAATCTACAGAAGGAATTGACTACAACAGGCATGAGGAAACATTTTGGGGGTGATGGAAGTGTTCTATAACATGATTTTGGTGGTAGTTACACAACTTTAAGCATTTGTCAAAATACATAAAACTATGAGCTTAAAATTGCTGAATTATATTCAATGTATATTATACTGTTAATAAAGCTGATTTAAAATTTTATTGGTCAAGGTGCAGCAAGAAAATTTATTCCATTTTTCCCAATCCTCTCTGAGAATATTGAGTTAAAGTGAAAGAGTTACAGGCTCTAAGAGCTAGTTGATAAGTCTAATAAAGCCTTTTATAGTATACATCCTAGAAAATGAATCTATATAGTTCAAGTTTCAGAAACATTTTTAAAAATAGGTATTTACAATTTTTTGTTTTCAACAAAGCTGAAAGAGGTTCCCATCAAGTTGCCAACTCTTGCATTAAAAAGTTTTAAGTTACCTCTGGCCGGGTGGCTCAGTTGGTTGGAGTGTCTTCCTGTACACCAAAAAGGTTGTTTCTCTCTCACCTCCCTCTCTCTCTCTCTCTCCCTTCCTCTCTCTCTAAAATCAATAAACATATCCTTGGGTGGGGATTAAAAAATGTTTTAAGATAGACCACTGATAAAAAGTTCATAAGCACAGAAGTTGCATATATAGGGAATGGATTGTTTTATTTCCAAATAGTTACTGCCAAGCTATGTGTTGGAATATTTCACTCTGTACACAGCACAATTATAATGTTATTAATTCTCTCCAGACCATATATGTCTTTAAAGGATAATTACACTATTCATTTGCTGTAATGGAAATGAAGTCTGCCATACAGTGATCAGGAGACACTAAGAGAACAGAAATAAGAATTAAAATTATATAATTCTAATGTGTAGGAATAGTTTTTAAAGTTTTCAAATACATTTTTTATATATTGGGTTTCCAAATACACGAAAAGTCATCAGTCAGAGTATTCTTTGAATATTGAGTAAATATGCATCAGGTGTGATTTTAAGCACTCATTATTAACTCAACCTTACAGAGCAAACCTATTAGCAGTGAGCTTATCAAGTAAATCTAGACTAAGTTCTTAGGAATGTGCTTAAATGTTATATTTATTCATTAGATCTCACTAGAATCCCAAAGTAATATGTTTATTATGCCAGGAATTCTTAATGGACTGTGTCAGTGATCTCCAAAGTACTTAGGTGATATAATATGATTAATTTTATAAGCCAAGTGCTAATTCCATGACATAAAGGGCCATGAATGAATCACCAACATTATAAAGAGTTTTGCTACGTTTGGTCTCTAAACTCCCCATACATTGTCTTCCCACACTTCCAGCCCACACCTCTGTGTTCACAACTAGAAACTTGATCTTTCTTTTTTATTTGAGCTTCTACTGTTGAACCTGAGAAATTTCCTCAAACCAAACACTGATGCCTCCCCCTGGACATTAGACAAGGTCCTCTGCTTGAGCTGCTCCTAAATCCAACTTCCCATCAGAAAATCCTCCATCTACTTAGAGCCTGAGGAGGTGAGGAGAAAATCAGATGTCCAGCATTTAATTGATATCTCTAAAGGAATCATTTTGTCTCACATAACAGATACCACATTGACTGAGAGACTGAAAATTATTTAATTTTCAGATTTGGTTATCTCATTCTCTGCTCCCACAGTTTTTATTATCCTCACTGTCATCTGGCACTTCCTGAAGGCTTGTTTGGTTAGTTTCTTTCTCTTTCTCCAACTCTTATATAGTTAAGGTGTGAGGAATATCTATAACAATGAAAGCATAATATGCTAATTAGACTGGATGTCCTTCTGGACGACCTTCCGGATGAAGCCAGTGGCCAGAGGGAAGCCCGGGTCCCGGGTGCCAGAGGAAAGCCGGGGCCGGCAGCCAGGAGAAGGAAGGCCTACTCTTGCACGAATTTCATGCATCAGGCCTCTAGTTGTAGAATAATAGATATACAGTCATGTAATACATAATGACATTTTGGTCAATGACAGACTGTATATATGATGGTGGTCCCACAAGATTAAAAGGGAGCTGGAAAATTCCTAT